AGTGGATTGCCTGAGCCCGCGGGTTCGAGACCTCATCTCTACAATAAATCAAAAATTAGCTGGGCGTGGTAGCGAGCGCCTGTAGTTCCAGCAACTCGGAAGGCTTAGGCGGAGGATTGCCAGAGCCCAGTAGGTTGAGGCTGGGGTGACCGGGAATGGCCACTGCACTCCAGTCTGGGCGACAGTGAGACTCCAACTCAAAAAAAAAAAGAAGTGATTTTTTTAATCTCTGGAGAACATTTGGCAAAATCTGAAGACATTTTTGGTTGTCTGAGGTAGGTGCTAGTGGGATTTGGTCAGTGGAGACCAAGGACACAGATAAACATCCTACAGTGTGCACAACAGTCCCTGACAACAAAGAATTATGCAGCCCACCATGTTGCTAGTGTTGAGAAACCCAGCAGTCTAGCCTGACTTTGGCACCCTATTATTTGATTACTCATTATGGTGTAGAACCATAGTGCTGGATGGTAACTTTACTATTATTATCATTGTAATTTTTTTGAGATAGGGTCTCACTCTGTCACCCAGGCTGGAGTGCAGTGGCGCAATCCCAGCTCACTGCAGACTCGACCACCTGGACTCAAGAGATCCTCCCATCACAGCTTCCCAAGTAGATGAGACTACAGGTATGTACCACCATACCTGGATTCTTTTTTAGAGAGATGAAGTCTCTCTATGCTGCCCAGGTCGGTCTCAAACTCCTGGGCTCAAGCAATCCTCTTGTCTTGGCCTCTCAAAGTGTTGGGATAACAGGTATGAGCCACTGCACCTGGCCTGGATGGGAACCTTTAGAAATCATCCCATTGCCCCCTGAGTTTTATGGGTTAGAAGGCAAGAGAAGCGACTGAGTCACAGAATGAGTGAATCATTGGTAGGGCTCTGTCCCCTGGCCCCTGGGCCATTGGTCATTTCTGTTTACTGTGTCGTTATTTTCTTTCTCTCAGGTTAGCTTAAAAGTTTTTATAAGCAAGGTTAGGATCTTTGTATTAAACTTGCAGTGACTCTTCTTTTCAACCTCGTACCCTTAGTTCAGTCCTAGGAGCACAATATATATTTGCTATCAGATAAAAATAGCCCTACATTGTGTAAAATAATCATTTCATTGCCCTAAAGACATATTTTGTAAAGAACGTACCTCCTAGATATAAACTCTAAAAAGGATAGATGACTATATCTAAATCACAGAAAGAAGAAATCCTACAGAGACATTCTGCGGAAATGTGCTCAGCGTTAATTAGAGTAACTACCAGTCAACGGAGTCTTATGTATTTAAATGATGGTGATGAAAATCACAAGCTTAGCAGTGCAGAGGAAAACAGGAAAGATTTCTACTAAGGGGAATGTTTAACTGAATTCCTACAAAGAAAGTGGGAGAAAAAAAAAAAGACAGAAAGGACAGCACCTTGGAGAAGTTTGTAAATTTATTCCTGTGAATTCTGACTTATAATCCATTCCCATCAATAAGTTATTCTCATTGAGGAAATAGTGTGTAAGTAATTGTCAAAACAGCGTTCAAAAGGCTAGGTCAAGCGTGCGAATGATGGAATAAAGAATAAAACTTTATATTGGAAAGAAGAGCTGATTGACTGGAATTCTGCATTTCAGAGTCAGGGCAGGTGAAGCTGCAGGTGCAGGCCTGGATCTGCTTCCTGGCTGTGCCAGGGAGCAGGTGTGGGACTCAGGCAACCACCCTAATCCTTCAGCTGTGAAGTGAGGGTCAGTAACAGTACTTCCCAAAATACAAAAATCAGTGTGAGGATTTGGCGAAAGATCACAGGAAAAGTGCTCACCAAAGGATTGGGCTAAATCTTAGGGCTGAATAAATGAGATTTATTGTTAAAATTCATTCTGCTTTTACTTTTATTTCTAAAAAAAAAAAAAAGGAAGATCACTTAGTTTGATGTCTATTTTAGTTCCTCAAAAGGAACATGACAGCCCCTTCAAGATAACTTGTTACATTGGCATCCTCACTTTTAAAATACAACCGTGAATTTTTATCTATCTATCTATTTATTTATTTTGAGTTGAAGTGTAACTCTGTTGCCCAGGCTAGAGTGCAGTGGCATAATCATGGCTCACTGCAGCCTCGACCTCCTGGGCTCAGGTGATCCTTTCACCTCAGCCTCCTGAGTAGCTGGGACTACAGGCACTTGGCCATCACACCCAGCTAGTTTATTTTTTGTAGATGTGAGGTCTTTCTATGTTACTCAGGCAGGTCTCGATCTCCTGGGCTCAAGGGTTCCTACCATCTTGGCCTCCCAAAGTACTGGGATGACATCCCACCTGGCCTATGGGTGAATTTTTACATATGCTTATATGTTGAGGCCTTTTAATCCTGTGAACAAATTTGTAGGGTTAAGGACCAGGAAAATAACTTAAGCTTGATTTTCTTTCTTTCTCTCTTATTTTCTTCCTTCCTTCCTTCTTCCCTCTCTCCCTCCCTTCCTTCTACTCTTCCTTCCTTCCTTGAACAAGACGTGCACATGCATGTATGAGTATATCGAGTAAGACATTTATAGAGAATGTGACAAGCAGGTGTTATGGAGCATCTTGGGTTCCAGTTTGGGTTCCAAGCCTAGCTCATAATAGATAGGAGATGTCAGGCATGTCACTTAACCATCCCTCATCTGTAAAATAAGGCGTCTGGCATAGATGATTAATAAGGTTTCCTCCAGTTTTAAGTACTGGATTGTATTTTTGTTTCTGGAGAGTCATAAACAGGCATCCACTTCAAATGTATTATTAAAAATGATCTGGTCTTTTTAATAGTAGTTCAATCTGTGGGAAAAGACTGAAGCATTATGCAATTTTGAAATGATATTTTACATTTTGAATAGATATCTTGGTCCAGGCATTTTGTCAGAGCTGGCTTTCTAATTGTGTGATCTATGCAGGTGCATACCTGTGTTTAGCAGGACACCACAACTGATTTAATGCACTGCTGTTGCCATCTTGACATTCCTAATGATTTTTGAACAAAAGGCCCTGCATTTTTATTTTGCACTATACCCTGCAAATAATGTAGCTTGTTCTGGCTACAACTTATAGTTCATTGTTTAATTTCGAGGACCAAGATTCTCTATTTTTTTGGTTAGAGACTCACAGGGCCTCTTTCTTCTGCACCCATTCTCAGGTTTTATGTTGGTATAAAAGTAGGAAGGGCAGTCTGCTAAGCCTGCCAGACTGCGGCATGTACTGTCAACTGAGTCCAGGATGACTGTGCCCTCCTTGGACTTCAAAGGGCAGGGGTTCCATCCTTCAGCCTCAGCCATCTCTACTGCAGTGGCCTAAGCTTCTGTCACTGGCAATTCCCACATCAGTGCAAATGTCTGTAATAGTCTATCAGACTGCAAGGGGGCCTTGGTGAGAGAATAAATAGTCTTTCTTTGAACATCAGAGACCCATCCTCTCAAGGGTGAGACCCATTCTGTGAAAATTCACAGCTCCCATCCACTCTCCTCCTTGCTGGTGTTCTTGAGTAAATACTCAAGGCTTGGCCACGTGTCCTTTGAGCACATACTTGATGGCCCTGGATCAGATGTACCTCTCTGAAGAGCAGTAAAGAGGAGCTACTCAGAAAAAAACCTTTGAATTCTGTCAATGCTTGCGATGATTCAGCTTCGAAAAACACTTCTGACCTCTTACTTAGTGTATTCTATCCTCCATCCAGGCGCTGAGGGCACAGCAGGGAGCAAACACAATGATCATGAGATAATTACAATTTATCACGGTGGCCCAGACATCGTAGGTTTATACTTCTTGGCCTGTAATAGTCACCTACAGAACTGATGTGGGGATGTCAGGAGATAATAAGTGACTGGGCGTCGGAGAGCTACTTCCTGGGAACCTGCATGGTGCAATATGGGCCCACCGGTTTTAAAAAAACGAAAACTGCAAGCTGTTCTTCAAAATGTGTAGAGGTATTAATTGGAAGCAGAGATAGTATGAAATTTGTCTTTTCTCCCTAATTTTTCAAACAATTGAACCTGTCGTCCAGGGCAGCATCCCTCCCTTGACCACTGATCTATAGGAATGGCAGCTGGGTCCAGGGCTTCCTAGTCCGCGATTTCTCTTCCCACGCGGGATGCAGGCGCTGGGAGTGAAGGCGCGGCGACCCGCCCCTACCCGAGGCTCCAGAGTAATGGCGGGGCGGTCGGGCCCAGCTAGGAAAGGCAGCGGGAGCGGCGAGAAGAGGCGGGGCTAGGCCGTGGTGGGCGGGGCAGAGGCATGGCCATGGCTTAGTGCCGCTGAGCCTACCGCCGGGTTTGGAAAGGAAGCGGGAGCGGTAGGGAGATGGGGTGTCAGGGGGCGGGGCCATAGAGTGGGCTTCGTGCCGGTTTAGGGCGCGGCAGGGAGAGGCGGGGCCCAGTCGAGGTGGGTGGGTCCAGGGGCGGGGCCCCGATTTAACTGCTGAGGCCTCGGCCGGCATTGGAAAGGAAGAGCCAGGGGCAGGGAGGG